TATATATACAGAAGTGAATATTTCACATTTAGATTTCCCAGCATCCTTAGAATATATGCTTAGTTTTAGATATAATTTCCTTGGAATGTGTTTCTTTAAAAAAAAGAGTAAAATAAAACAAGGATGAAACTTGACAACATTACACTAAGTGAAAGAATCTAGACATAAAAAGCCATATATTATATGATTCCATTTATATATCCAGAATATCCCATGAAAAATCCAGAATAGGCAAATTCATACAGACAGAAAGTAGATTAGTGGTTGATAGGGGCTGAGGAAAGAGAATTGAGAAGAATAGGGTTTCTTTTTGGAGTGCTAAAAATATTCTGGAATTAGTAGTGATGTCTGCACAACACTGTGAATATACTAAAAACCACTGACTTTTATACTTTAAAATGGTTAAAACAGTGAATCTTCTCTTAATAAAAAAATTTTATTAAGTTAAGAATTAAGAGAAAGAACTGTACTTACATCAGACAGAAGCCTATCCAGATTGGAGTCACTGGCTACTTTTCTCTTATCCTCAGGAAGTTCCTCTAACTCCCCATAGAGCTCCAAATTCAAGCGAGCTAATTTCTCCTGCATTCCCCGAACATGTTCCATCTGTTCGATTGAACATTCATTTCCTGGGGGAACATCCCAGAACATTAATAAAGACTAGGGTAGTTAACTAACTGTTTTGAGAAGAGACTTTTAAACTCTAGGAGCTGAAAAGAAATCACTTGCCTGTTTTTTGTAAATTACATCGTTAATGACTGCCTATTTTCTGTGTATAATAACAAATCAATTTTCTGCCCAGGAAAACAATGAAAATCTAAGAAATTATCACAAGCACTGAAAAAAAAAGGGGGGGTAAGTTTTTCTTATAAAAACAAAATCATGCCTTAGGTAAAGAAATTTTTTTGATAGTAATAACATACATAGAAGCAAGAGTATCATCCAATCATGTCCAATTTGACAAATGCCATTTGAATTGAGTGACCCAACATTTTATAATCTGAGTGAAATTAAGAGTCCTATAAGAACTTCAACCATGAATTATTTTGCCAACCTATTATGTATTCCTCCTTTAAGAAATATAAGTGAAAATAATACAAAGAATGTTATGAAGCATGAAAAACACAATGTAGTATTTTCAATTATATACTCAGTAGTGCAGACAATTTAACTGCTAAAAGACAGGTCTTATGGTATTTATGAATTAGAGTCCTCTGAGGTGGCATTATTTGTCCAGAGTAACTAATTATTATATATTTTCATACAGCTTATGAAACCTCTTGATACTATAAATTTCTTTTTTTCAAAAAAATCTTTGGTTTTCTCAAAGGTATACTATAGCTCAGCTAAAGTTGAAGTATATATTTTGAGTCAACATGAATTAATGTACAGTATACTATATTTTCCTCTAGCCAGCTTTCTATAATCTTCATAAATTGACTATATTAAATTATAAGGACTACTAATAATTTTGAAACTAGTTACAGCACCGTCAAAGTCATCCTTTCTTCATAATAAAATATCTCGTATTTCCTTTATTTTAATGGTTTTTCAACAATTAGTAACCTAGGAGGTATTTCTTCAAGAGATATATATGTATGTATGTATACACATATATATTATATACTTATACCTACATATATATCTAAACAGAGCAAGAGTGAGAGAAAACAATATAAAGAAAATATAAAGAGGTAGAAATCGCAAGGAAAAAGAAGAGGTTCAGAGGATGGATCCAGGTGACTTAACATGAGAACAATAGCAGCTCCAAAAGGATAAAAAGGGGCACATGGAAGAGAAATAAATGAACAGAAAAATTTTTCCTTAAGATAAAAAGATGAGTTGGCAGATAAGAAGGTCTCACTGATTCCCAGGCAGGACTGATGAGAAAAGATACAGTCCTAAGCATATCCTAGTAAATGCCTGAACTTTAAAAGATAAAGAAAAAAAATCTTTCAAGCATCAAGACAGAAAAAAAATTACCTGCTATGAAAGAATCCGACTGGCAACTGACTTCTCATCTGCAACATCTATATAGACAGCAAACTGACAAGTGACAGAGACTTCAATCCAAGAATACAAGTCAGATAAGAGTAGGGACAGGAAGAGTGTTGGGAAGAAAGCAGAGGTAAAGTGATCCAAAGATTGTATCTCAAGGATAGGAGAAAAGAAGGGAGGAGAGGAGGAAGTGAAAGTATTTTGAAGATACCACCATACTGGATGGAGTAAAGCAAGGAGGAAGGGATAGAATAAAACATCTATGTGAAATAACGCGTTCTTAATGTTTTCTTTTCAAATAACAGTATAACCAAAACTGGAAACCCAGAAACTATAAGAAAACAGATAAAGACATAACTGAGTATTAAGAGATTCAAACTTACTAAGTTAAATATACAATCAACAAAATCTAAAGATGTATTAAATTTGGTAAAAAATAAACAAAAACAAAATATAGAGGTCAAAGGATTAGTATCCAAACTATGCAAAGGGCTGTTAGCAATTAGCAGCACTACCAACAAGAAACGGATATATTACCAAATAGAAAATTGGGTAAAGGTCCTGAAAAGAGCAATACCATTACTTAACATTTACTATTCAAACTCAATAGTAGTAAAAGAAATATCACTTTATACCAATAGACTGTCAAAATTAAAAGACCGATTAATACCTATTCTGGTGGAATTCAGAAAAAAGAGTTCTGAAATAAACTGCTGATAAACCCTAGAAGTGCAAAAGCTTTTTTGGAAGGCAATTGGGATACTTTTATTAAAATCAAAATTACATATATGCTTTGATTCAGTAACACCTCCCCCCCATGGGAGTCCATCCTAAAGAAATAAAAGCATCTGCCTAAGGATATATGTAAAAAGATGTTCACTATACTGTGGTGTTTAGTGGCTCAAAACTGGAGACAAAGTAAATGCCCTTCAATTAGGAAATACTTGAATAAACTAAGATATATTCACAACTTGGAAAATTATGTAGCCATTAAAAGGAAGAGTGAATTAGGGTTATACCAAGTGACTTGTAGATATTCTCATCAGATAGCTCTTAGAGGAAAGCAATACATAAAAAAATATATGTGATACATAAGATAATGAAAACAAAAATCTGTATATTTATATTTATATTATAATCTGGAGAGAAATGGGAAAAGATACACCTGGCTTTTAACATGGTTCTCTGGTTAAGGAGACAGGAGGGGGAGCCAATGGATGGGGTAAGGGAGGGGATACGGAAGCCAAGGAACAAAAAAGTGGGAGAGAGAAAGACAGCACTTAGAAAAGCCAACATGCATGTTGATGAAATGCATGTGTGAGATTCTATACATGCACATTCAATAAAATTTGAATTGCTTTAAAAAAATAGAGGAAGTAATTTTGTCATCAGAAAAAGCTTGTAAGGTAAGTTGCAAGCTGAACATGAAAACTGACTTTGTGGACTCATGTACAAAAATAACTCTACTCAGGAGTTTTTATTAACAATCAGTTCACTGTTTGTGAAAAAGAAAACCAGATCATTTTATATTCAAAAGTAAGGAATAGTGGGCAAGAAACAAGTTTAGGCTTAACAAGGTAAAGAAAAATGATCTTGAGACTTTCCAAAACTAAAACACTCAGTTTAAAATATTTTAACTTTCAAGATATTTATTTGATAATAGGAATCCTACTTATATTCAACTTCTTAAAAAACCTTTTTTCCTGAAATTGTAGATGGCAAATTATATATTCTATGACATCTGAAATCTAGAATGACTGTATTTTATGCTCTGGACTTTTTTTCTTTAAAAAAAAAATGACACTTTTAAAAGGAATGGCAGAATACATGTGGAAAATAGGATGCAAACATCTCAAAAAACAGTAAAGAGAAATATATATGGTTTACCAAATGCTTGAAGTTTTCCAGAGTGAAAATCATTCAAGAGGCTGAGAAGCCCTCTCTCCATCTCCTGAACGTCTGAGACATCAGTGAGAAAGGAATGCTGAATTGGAGTTGACTGAGCACCTTTGCCTTCTCCACCCTGAGGTTTGGTCTTTTCTTTCACCACTCTGCAAAAATGATGCATTTAAAAACTTAACAGCATATAATGATCTTTTAAGAAATTATGATTATATATTTTCAGGCTGTTCTAGATTGGGGAATCAAAAGGAATTTCCCTTAAAAACACACATCAGAGTAGAATAAATACTAAATAAAAACACTAATTTCAATCCAGAAACCAAAAGAATGGGCTGTGAAAATCTCAAAGAAATGTGTAAAATGTATCTGCCAAGGCATGTAAAATTTTTTATTAATACATTTAGAAAATATGCTAATTCTCTGGACTATAAAAACTCAAAAAAGAATTAGTTAAGTTTTTTTGCTATCCTACATTTCATATTTCATTTCTCAGTAAAACATATTACACCTTTCAGTTCTAAACTTTATCCTTTTTGTTCCCTGAACTATTGGTTGTTCACCAAGAGGTTATAGAGTCCTACTCTGTAGCTGACACTATGCCAGATCCTGAGTATGCACAGGTGCCCATGACATTAGGCAGAGTACTTGGTCTAAGGAGAAAGGCATATAAATTCATAATTACCACATGATGGAATGCTAAAAACCTGTTATCATCTGATTGCTCCAACTTCCTACAGCCCCACATACAGTCATCAAGTCCTATTGATTATACCCATAAATATCTCTCTACTCTCTCTAGTTCTCTCCCTCTCCACTGTCACCATCCTTTCTCTTGACCCAACTACAACAGCTTCCCAGCTGGTCTCCCTGCCTCTGTGTATTGTCTCTCCCCACAGAGCAGCCATGTCAATTTTTAAAAAGTAAAATTGGATCATATAATTTAATCAAACCCTTCAGTAGCTTTGGCACTGCCTGATAGATGAAGTCCAATATCTTTAAGAAAGCCTATCTTCCCTTGTTGTTTATGTTCTGGACATTCTGAATCTCTTCTTCCTAGAATTCCATTCTCTTACTCACTTATGTGCTAATCCTCTACCTACATTAGCATCCTTCCCCTCACTGCCATCTTTGCCAGGCTCCCACACGTCCATCAGTCTCAGTTCAAATGTTACGTCTTCAGGAAGGCCTTTCCAGGATCCCTAAACTAAATTAGTTCTTTTTACACATGTCTAGCATATATCAGGCTCTCCAACATTTGAGTGATGGTGCTATACATATCATGATACGGAACCAGACAGAGGAGCTCACTCAACTTAGGAGCAGCTGGAGAAAACTTCCTAAAGGTGACATGTGAGTGAATGTTGAAAGAATATGGAGTTACCTAGGCTTCTTAAGTAAGGAGGGGTTGTGTATTATCTTTATAATCCCAACACGCACTACAGATCCTGATGGACACTTATATTCAATACTTCAACTAATTTCTACGTGATGTTGCATGGAGACATCTTCCTACAAGTGTACTCACCACAATAAGGATAAGATGAATAGGGCATATAGGGTTTGGGGCAGAGGGTAGCAAGAAAGAAATTCTACTCTTAAGAAATCAATTTAGAACACATAGGCTGTTTCAGAGCATGTCAGTAACCATTCTTCATAAAGCAAGATCTGTATTAATAACATTATCTAATACCTTGCTACTCAGAGTGCTGTCCAAGACCCACAGCATCAACATCACTTTGAGCTTATTAAAAATGCTTATCTGAAGCCCATTCCAGAATAACTGATTCAGAACCTGCATTTTAAAAAGATCCCTGAGAGATCCATATTCACATTGAAATCTGACATAAACTATTATAAACTTTCAGTATAGCAAATGTATTTTTTTCTTCAAATTGGAAGTTTTATCCAAGTATTTAACATCAGTTCATCATTTAACAACCCTCTCAAAAAAGAAAATAAAAACCTGTTTATCCTTATTTCAGTGTTTTTGATCGTGTCACACTCACTTTGTTAAAACAATTCAACAATAGAAAAGCACTCACTGAAATTATACTATGTGCAAAGCCCTACTGTAAGTACTGTCTGACAAAAAAGGATGATCAACTTAGCCTACATTCTAGAAGAGGGTACAGAAATAAAAGTACAAGGTAGAAAATGACAAGGAGATACAAATAAACTGATATAAGACAATCTGATACTTTATTCAAAGGAAACCCTCATATTAGTATGTTCTTTTCCAAGTGCCTTTGGCTATGTCCCTTTTGTTTCCTTAAAGAGTATAAGATCCACTTGTATTCAACATAGTATTGGAGGTCCTAGCCACAGCAATCAGACAACACAGAGATAGAAGGCATCCAAACTGGTAAGGAAGAAGTTAAACTGTCACTATTTGCAGATGACATGATATTGTACATAGAAGACCCTAAATTCTTCCACAAAAAAACTATTAGAACTAATAACTGAATATAGCAAAGTTGCAGGATACAAAATTAATACACAGAAATTTGTTACATTCTTATTATATTAACAAAAAGCTAGCAAAAAGAGAAATCAGGAAAACAATTCCAATTACAATTGCATCAAAAAGAATAAAACACCTAGGAATAAACTTAACCAAGGAGGTGAAAGACCTATACTCTGAAAACTACAAGACACTCATTGGAGAAATTGAAGAAGACACCAATAAATGGAAATCTATCCCATAGGAAGAATTAATATTGTCAAAATGGCCATTCTGCCCAAAGCAATCTACAGATTCAATGCAATCCCTAACAAAATACCAACAGCATTCTTCAATGAACTAGAACAAATAGTTCTAAAATTCATATGGAACCACAAAGACCCCACTCGAATAGCCAAAGCAATCCTCAGAAAGAAGAGCAAAGCTGGGGGATGGGAGGATTATGCTCCCTGACTTTAAGCTCTACTACAAAGCTACAGTAATCAAAATAATTTGGTACTGGCACAAGAACATACCCACAGATCAATGGAATAGAATAGAGAGCCCAGATATAAAATCATACATATATGGTCAATTACTATATGAGCCATGAATATACAATGGGGAAAAGACAGCCTCTTCAAAAGCTGGTGTTGGCAAAACTGGACAGCTACATGTAAGAGAATGAAACTGGATTATTGTCTAACTCCACAGACAAAACTAAACTCGAAATGGATCAAAGACCTGAATGTTAGTCATGAAACTATAAAACTCGTAGAAGAAAACATAGGCAAAAATCTCTTGAATATAAGCATGAGCAATTTTTTCCTGGACACATCTCCTCTGGCAATGGAAACAAAATCAAAAGTGAACAAGTCAGACTACATCAAACTAAAAAGCTTCTGTACAGCAAAAACACCATCAGCAGAACAAAAACGTATCCCACAGTATGGGAGGATATATTCGTAAATAACTCATCTATAAAGGGTTAATACCCAAAATATGTAAAGAATTCATATGCCTCAACACCCAAAAAACAAATAACCTGATTAAAAAATGGTTGGAGGACCTGAACAGACACTTCTCCAAAGAAGAAATTCAGATGGCTAACAGGCACATGAAAAGATGTTCCACATCAATAAACATCTGGTAAATGCAAATTAAAACCACAATGAGATATCACCTCATACCAGTCAGAATGGCCACTATCCAAAAGACAAGAAAAAATAAATGCTGGTAAGGATGTGGAGAAATGAGAACCCTTCTACAGTGGTGATGGGAATATAAATTGGTGCAACCGCTGTGGAAAGTAGCAGTAGACTAACAGAATAGAAAATAAAAATAGAAATACCATTTGACCCAGTACTTCCACTCCTGGGAATTTATCCAAACAAAACAACATCCCTGATTTGAAAAGACATCTGCACCCCTATGTTTACCACCACCGTTGCCAATAGTCAAGATATGGAAGCAACCTAAGTGTCCATCAATAGATGAATGGATAAAGAAGAGGTGGTACATATACACAATGGAATATTACTCAGCCATAAAAAGAAAAGAAATCCTGCCATTTGCAAGAGCATGGATGGATCGAGAGGGTATTATGCTCAGTGAAATAAGCCAGGCAGAGAAAGGCAAATACCATATGATTTCACTGATTTATGGAGTATAACAACAAAGTAAAACAGAAAGAACAAAGTAGCAGTAGACTAACAGACACCAAGAAGGGATACAAGTTGGTTTACAGGGAAGGTAATAAAGCATGAAGAATATAGTCAATGATTCTGTAACATCTTACTATGTTGATAGTAATTGCACTAGAAGGGGTGAGGATTTAATAATATGGGTAACTGTTGAACCACTGTGTTGTATATCTGAAACCAACTTGAGATTGTATATCAACAACAAAAAAAAGTCTAAGGTCATCATCAAGGCAGCAATCTCTTCTTTGTGTATGTAAACTCTGTGGCTAGTGCTACAGCACTTCCTTAACTGACTCTCCATGATAAGCATGCAAGTGGAGTAAGTTTATTTAATCATAATTAGAAAGGATTGAGATTATGAAATGCTTTTTCTCTAAAGATGTTATCTTGCTTTCCAAACATTTAACATTATAAAATATATATATGCAGCAGCAATATATGACACATTTAAACTTGTCAATTCTATTCCCTATAGAACCTCAAGACAAATGATGTTCACCAAATATTAGTGATGATTTCTTCTAGGTGGTAGGATTTTAATGTTTCAGATTTCTTCTTTTAACTTTTCCTGTGTTTGAAGCTTTACAATAAATGCAAATCATTCCCACAAAAACAATTAAACCACTCTTTTTTAAAAGGAAAAACTACCAAAGCACAAATACTTAGTTTAAAAAAAAAAAACCTGTATATATTTTTTCCTCTTTCTGGCTAACTTGTCAACTTTGTCTAGAAGTTTTCATGTTCTGTGTGTTTTAATATAAGACAAAGTAAGGGCCTTCAGACCAATCATTCACTTTGCATTCTCCAATCCCTATACACTGCAACCTTCATAAATTTTTTTCTAAATCACATATATGTATGTGCCTCATATAAATGTGACATTTTAAAAACTTTTAAAAGTCAAGCCAAGAGAAGAGTTTTAAGAATGACTAGATTTAGTATTTAATAGCATTTTGCCATGATAATATGAAAAAAAGAATTCACCTTTTTAACTTTGGTCTCTGTGACGTTGACTGTGATGCAGGATTTGAAAACCCTGTACTTTTACTAACTGGAATGGCATTTTTTTTGGCATTAACAACCTGAGTAGAGTGGGCATTAAAAGACTTAGGACTCCTCCTCTTCACTTTCCGCTCCTCCATTGTGTTAAGTTCCTTATCGCACCAAAGCCAGCTTATTATGACCTAAGGAAACACAGAAAAATTAGACATGTATGCTGTATAATGTGCCAAAATGAAAGAGGTTTAAAGACCCACTTCATAGGCTGAAAGAGGATCAAGAATTTCAGAGGCATTAGAGAAAGTCAGAATTAGGATCCCTTAAGTTTAACCTACCATACAATGTACAAAGAGGTTCTAATAAGCAAAACTGCCTGTTAGATAAAAAATTTTTTCACCATTTTCTTCATTCACTCATCCCATAAATATTTACTCTCTTCCATGTGCCGGGTACTGTTCTTGGCACTGGGGAGATGGCACTGAACAAGACAACAAAGTCTCTGACCCCCAAAAGCCTACATGATAGAAGGGGGACAAATGCATAAAAAATGTAACAGCCTCCTGATATTCCCAGCCTGACTCAAGCTTTAGGTGGCCTTTAGGTCTCCCTTTTAAGTTGTATTCTTGGAAGAACCAACTAGATTCAAAAACATGTGTAACTGACAGGAGATACCTGCACTTTAACTATCAACTAGAAACTGTATTTCAACAACCAAGCAAAAACTCAGTTTCTGCTAGGAGTAACACTGATTCTAATTTCCTGATCAAGTGAATTTCTGTAAAGTTAAACTTTTTCCACAACTATTTTGAATATACTTTATTTATTTCCCAGGAAATATGAAGTGTATGATACATGTTTAGTTTTGCTAATATCGAAAAAGTTGCGCTGTGAAGTTACAGCTCGCCCTTCCATAGAGAATATGTGTAAGGCCTTCTATTTATCCAATAATTTCCACTTACTTTACACATTAACCAGCTTTGTCTTCCTAACAGTCATCCATCTAAAATCTTTCTGCATTTCCTTTTTATTTATGCATAATATTAAGTTCTTAATTATATTGTTTCATGTATCAATTATTTGCATTATCAGATTGTAAAGTGCCTTAGATTCATTAGGCCTTTGCTCATACACTGTGCTGAATTTAATCATGGTATGACCATTCAAAAATATCCAGGTCCACTGATGTCACTCCTAAAGTAATTACTTGAGAATTTTAATGAAAACAGATTTTTTGCTATTGTCTGAACTTCATGCCATTAGCAGGCTACCTCTATGGACAGTCGTAACTGGAGCTTTGATAACTCCAACAAAGAAAAAGTTTTAAAAGAAAGGCTCTAATGCCCAGTCTCTAATCCCAGATGCCTACTGTAAGTCCGCTTAAATCTTGGCTAACAATTTTTTCTTTAAGAAGTATTTTTAGTAACAACAGACATTTTAGTGTTGTTTCAGCACAAATTAAGTGGAACTTAAAAAAACAACTGAGTAGAAGCAATGGCATATCAGTTTTCCAAAGGGGCACAGATCTGTACAAACTTTTGATACACATAATCACACTGGCCTTCGAATTTAATGATGCTAATACACAAGACAAGACAGAAAAAAACCTAGGAAATAAAGCAATGCAAATAAACCAATAGTGGACTAAAGTAGTGAGACAGGGACCATGGGTATAGTCAGAGTAGGTGAGGGCCTCCAGGAAAAGCAGGGCGGAATATTTACAGTCAGAGCAATGTAACAGTGGGCAAAGAAGTCCCCATTGAAACTCTGTTAAGCATTATGCAAAGCCAAGATCACACTAATTCTCTAGGGAAAGATACCTAAGAATATAGACATCTTCAGTGAGATCAGTTAAAGGTCAAAAGGCCAGGAGCAACTTGGTCTGGAGTGTTGGAGTGTTTGAGTGTTCTGCAAGGGTATCAGCATAACCCATGACTCCGCTGTCAGCCCTAGCAATCAGACTATGACCCAGCCCACCTTGAGGACAGAGCAGGTGATGCAAGTCCACACCCCTAAGTTTTTTTCTTGTTCTCGAAAAATCCTCAACTGCCTATAAAACCCCCTAAACAACGCACCACTATGGGCTCTCTTGTGCCCTCCTGGCATGAGCCAGGAGCTCTATTCTCTCACTTTATTTCTAAATAAAAGCCTGTACCTTGCTCTTCTACATTGAGTGTTTGTGGAGCTCATTCTTCGGCTTCGTGAACAAGAACCCCGGCATCAGTAGGATGTTTTGAGGGGCCAGCGCTCAAAATTTTTTCGTTTTTGGAAGGTAACATCTATGTCGCAAGAACACGGAAATCCTTCTGGTATACCAAGCAGCAAGGAACCTTTCAGAGAAGGCCTTTGTAAACTGCTTGTAGTTAACTCACTCGTTTTTAGATCCAGAACCCCACAGCCGCCAAACAGGACCACTAAGAGTCCCTCTTGACTTCACCTCATTCCCCTTTCCCAATCAGCCAACGCGGTTACCCTTCGCCTCTTCAGAATCCAGCCTCGGCCACAGTGAGTGATGGGAGGGGCCTAAGGGGGACCCTGGGGAGGAATCTTTGCTTCCGCTCGGTACCTGAGGAAGAAGAGAATCGGGGTCCTCTTCCTCAACCTGCAAAGACCTCGGAGTTTCGGAAGTCACCACCGCAGCTGCAGCCGCAGACCCTACAGCTGCAGCTTGTGCCGGGGTCACATCCCGGGGCCTGCGCCTCCACAGCGCCCTTTGTTTACGGAAGTGACGCAAGGAGGCGGGGCCTCCGTGCCACCGGCGGGAGCCTCGCCTCTTCCGGCTCCACCAGTGCCTTTCCTGTTTCTGCCCTTGCCAGCACCGCATTGCTTCCTCTGTTTTGCCTTCAGCTGTACCTTAGGTGGGCCTGGACAGGAGAAGCCATAGCTGGGCTTCTATTCTGGGTTCTGCGGCCCCGAATAGAGGAGGGATAAGGGGTGAAGGGAAGGGAAATGCAATACCCTTTCCGGAAGCGCTCTCGGGTGCCCCTTACGGGAGTGTCCGTCCCACGCACTACAATTCCCAGCATGCTGTTCGAGCAAGCCCGGGGGCGGAACCAAGTATCGTCATAGCAACCAGTCCTGGATGGTTTCTGATTCACCGCCGGGATTTAGCGAGGTAAATCAATTTAAACTTGGGAAGCAGCGAGAAAAGCTGTGATTCTGTAGCGACCCGGATGCTGAGACCCTAGATGAGATTATTTTACTCCTATTAATAGCTACTCTGTTAAAGCCCTAGACTTGTTACCTCTATCTCACTACAATTATATAAGGTAGGTGTTAAAATCCCCGTTTTAGAAATCACTCAGAAAGGCTAATAAAAACACGTCTCTTCGTCGCCAAGTCAGTTCCTGCACTAAACATATTGCCTCTGGAGAGGAAATTGAGGCTTGAGGGAGATGGAATTATCATAAATGAAGGGAGAAATCCATCTTTCATTCCCTAGTCTGGATAGCCTTCCCCGCGTGGGGGTTGGGGGTGAGGCGGTTTTAGGTTCATAGATCGTTAATCTGCAGAGACTCTGGAGAGTACCACCTACTTCTGCATTTGCTGATGAGGAAACCGTATCTAGAGATGATATCAAAGCCAGAGAGACAGAGAAAAGAAGACCCAAATCCCTGACTTTTAGTATGGGATGTTCTTCCATCACCACCCCCTCCAGTTCTTAAACTTCTGGAAAAGAAAAACAGTGAACGTTCATGTACCCGCTTTACAGAATGAATGGATGTCCGTTTTGTCATTTTTTATACCTTTAAATGAAAGAAATATATTACAGATGAAGTGGGTGCCACTCTACTTCCCTCCAAGAGGCAACTGTGATCTTAGATTTGCTAAGTATCCTGCTAATGTAGGTTTGCATGTTTTCACTATTGCTATGTATATATAAACAATATATAGAATGACTTTGGGCTTTTGAAGTTTTACATGAATGCTATTATATTTGTGTATTGCTCTACAACTTGACTTTTCACCCAATTCTATGTTTTTGAGCTTTTCTCCACATTGATGCATAGATACATTTGTTTTAACTCTATAAAGAATTCCATAAAAAAATTTTGCTACAAATTATTTGGGCAGTCCCATAGTGGTTGATATATAGGCTGTTACCCATTGTTCACCATTAAAAATAATCCTGTAAGATACATTCTTCCTAGTATCTTTTCTCAATGCCTCTTAAAAATCTCAAATTGTCTTACCTGTAAGCAGAGCTTGCAAGCTGGTGATTCCTATGCTATTTTAATGTTTTTTCAAATTGGTTGCTGACAGTTAATATTGAAGGAATAAAAAACCAGATGTCATTCAATCCATTTGGCACTCCAATAATAATGGAAGATCTGAGTCATTTCTTTTACCTGAGATCTAGAGTTCTTCCCTGAAAGAAATTTTGTTGAGGTTTACTAGATTTTTCTTTAAGCTGTAAAAAGCGTTCTTTTGTATTGACTGTTGAATGCCTACTTTGTGTAAGTTAGTCTAACTAGAAACTTTTCTCCTAAGGATGATAGTTAGAGGATAAGAGCTTTGATCAACAAGACACCTCCCCATACACTAATATACTCTATAATATAGGTGGGCAGGGAGGAGTACAATTGGTGAATCTCTCAGAAGTGACAATGATACAAGTGTACACACCTACAGGCTCTAAATCTACTAAGCTAGAATATTTTAGGGACTCAGGAGTCTCTTTTTTAAAAAAAAAAGAAGTGTTTTCCTGTGGAAAATTTTAAACATATGCCAAAGGAGACAGAATGGTATAATGAACCCCTTTGTATGCGTAATCCATCTATTCACTCATAGCCAATCTTGTTTCACCTAAAGCCCACCCTCCACATATGCTCTTCTGTATTATTTTGAAGCAAATCCCAGATACTGTTTAATCCATAATATTTCAGTATAGATCTTTAAATGGTAAAAAAAAAACCTAACTACAATATCACTATTCTTCCTTAATCATTATTATTAGCTGTCTAGTCAGTGTTCAAATTTCCAATAACATTATAAGTGTCATAATTTTTTTCATATTTCATTTGAATCAGGAATATTTTTCTGTAAGGTCCTCAGGCGATGAATGAGTTTGGAAGCCACTGTTGTACATCCTCATTTGTTGAGACACAACCATGCCTTGTCTTTCCTCTTGAGAAGTTTAAACTGTAAAGAAAAAAGCAGGTATCTTAACCCAAAGCAAATGGCTACTCTACCTCAGTGCCTGCTAAAGAATCATCTTCTTGTCCTTTGTGGTTCTTATAGGGAAGAGGTTTCATTTTGTTTTAGCTTGGAAGCCCATCCACAATTTTGCAAAGTGTTCCTTCACCTACTTATCCTCCCATATCAATGTGTAGGCCAGGCTCAGTGCCTGTTTGCCTAACTCAATGCCTACCTCAGGAAATAGCAAGTCAAAAAGCCCTAAAACATTGTGAACTGGTCTAGATTTCTTGTCTACTTTGCGATGGACATCTTAACTATTAGCAAAGGGCCCCAGAATAATCACATAGGCCCTTATATTTATATTTGACTGCTAACTGCTTTGAAAAACAAACCAGGGGTAAACAGTAGAACTGAAGAGTTACAAAGACTTAGATGTTTACAAAATTCTTACATATGTGATGTTTGAATAGTTTGTCTTCTTCCTTAAGCTGTGAGTTCCTTGAGGGCACATATCATGTTTTATTTAATTTTGTATCTTAAATACATTGCATAGAATATGACAAAAGGTTGGTGCTCAATAAATGTATGTATTATGAATGAATAAAAAGTTCTTTAATTTTATTTATGAAAATAAAGTGACTCCCACAATCCCTTTTTAAACTCCGAAGTCCAAAGATGTAGGCCCAGTCACAGTGTCAACCAGATGGTATCACTAACGTTGAGGCAATTGGACAATTTGTATATTGGTGCACCAGCCTTCATGCCAAGGGGATCTGATGAAAGAACTAACCTAAAGCTTAGGGAACGCAGAAAGAAGGAAGGGAGGGAGGGAAGAGTCAGAAGGGCTCCCATAACACTTTATTTATGTACCTATCTAACAGGGAAGTGTAAAAATGTTATTTGAAACCGTAATTGCTACCATTCTGTCTTAAGGAGTTGCCTTAAAAGTCCTGTGAGTGGAGAAATCAATGTTTATATAGTGGCAGAAAAGGGGTTGAGACTCCAGGTAGATGGCCCACTGTGTGTCATAATACAACAATGAGAATTGGATGTGCACAGGTGGGCAGGGGCTGAGTTTGTGAATATGAGATTGAGAAAATTGAATTGGGATATAATAAAGTGGGAAGAACTGTTTAGTGTGATATAGAGGGTGGGGGTTGTGGACTTTGGGGAAAAAAGCAAAAAAGGGAGCAGAGGGAGAAAGTAGAGTCACAAATAGAAGGAAGAAGGACTTTAATAAGAGCAATGAAATGTGTTAATTCAATTTGTAATTGTTAGTATTCTAATTTTACACAGACACGAGCACGCACGCACACACACACACACACACATCCTCAAGATAAATCCTCTACAAGCTCTAAGCTTTGTGCAAATTAATCATGAAGTCAAGGAAAAAGCTTTGTATTCTGCTTCTTTGGGAGATTTAATGGAGAAAAAGGGCAGCATGTATGTAACAAAAAAGTCCATAAACTTCATGTCAGATGAAGCAGGAGCTTAGTGTCCACAGTGAAAGGGAAAATTACAAACCTCAATCTACCCTACAATCTTAGAAGGAGGGAGAGATATGAGCTTTCCACTACGTGAAGATTGGGGTTATATTTAATTTTACTTTACTCTTAAAGGGCAGGTATACCTGAGATGACACCTGGTAATCTTTTGGTTTCTGCACTACTCTGTTAGCTGCTCACATCCTTCCTTTATATTCCTAATATTCCTTTATAGTCCTAAAATCTAGCACAGTATCTGGCATATAATAGAAACTTTAAAAGATTTTGTTAAATTAATGAATTGGAAAAAATTAGACTGTTAGGATGGCAAGTGGCAGAATGGCATTATTAATTAAATCAAGTGTTACCACAATTCAGATTACTTATCCAGGAATTAGAAATAGGTTGATTCTTAGTTATACCTGACTCTGATCTCCAGGTGGCAGTATTTTCTCATATTAAATTGTTTTGAGACCAGTTTGCATTTAACTTTTGAGAATTTAAATGCATTAAAATAAAAACTCAGTTCTGTAGCTTATTTCTGTAATTACACAGAGCCAAGGAAGAGATAAAATACAATTACATGAGGTTATGGATTTCTCCCCCAATTTTTATACAAATGAGAATTACTGACAGTTCTCTAATTAAAGCAGTTTCTAAAACCATAAGGTAAATACAAATCAGTATACTTTGTTTACAAAACACGTGTATTCTTTCAAAGAAAGCTGTGTGTGTGTGTTTGTAATAGAGCACAAGAGCTGTAATATTTGTAAAAATAAACCGTCTCCCAACAAATAGGGTGACCAAATTAAATACAAGATGCTCAGTTAAATTTGAATTTCAGGAAAGCAAAGAATACCTTATTTCATGTCCCATGCAATATTTGGGACACACTTACACTAAAAAAGTGTTCCTGTGTATCTGAAAATCAGATTTAACTGGTTATCCTGTATTTCTCTGCTAAATCTGGCAATTTTATCAACAAATATTTTGTTGTTCTTGTTAATTCCAAAATAAACAATTTCATCAGTGAAAAAAGCAAAAAAGGGAGCAGAGGGAGAAAGTAGAGTCACAAATAGAAGGAAGAAGGACTTTAATAAGAGCAATGAAATGTG